GATTCCTCCTTTTTTCATCACATTTACATGTATGAGAATTTGATTTAATACATGACGCAATCGGCCTATGTTTTTAAATAACATAGCATATAATCCTGTCATTTCTAATTTTCATCTTATCATTCTCTTCAAGTTTACGCCATGAATACGCATTCGTTCTTAAGGAAACAGAAAAGTGATAGGGAAATAGCTGTAAAAAATAAACATCTGCTAAATCTTTTCTTTAAGCCACATATCATGAAAATAATCAATTAAGTGTGAACAAACGTAATAAAAAAAATCCATCTATTACTTCAAAAAAGTCTTTAACAAAGAATTAATTATCAGCCAAAAAAACTTGAAAGATGAGATCTCAACAGATGTAGCGGAAAATATTATCAGACTTCAATGAAAATTATAAACAGTATTTCATGGATGTTATCATTGCGAAAATCACTTGTTTTCAATATTTTGAAATCCCAGATTAATAAAGAAGCATTTAGGTATTTATTCAGCAATAGAAAAGATAGATCGATAAGAACAACCCACGTTAAAAGAGTTGAGAATTGATCAGTTAGTTTTAACAGTGGCATTTATTGGTGTTTAGAGTTCCATGCAACTTTTTTTGCAGAACTGGATGATTTCTCACATTTAATCCAAGCATTCCGCTGATTTCAAAATTGCTAGCTGCGAGAAGTGGAACAGATACAATGCCACACGAAATGATGACAGCTTACAAAAAACTGATGTTAGCCTAACTAGTACTCAGTGGCTTCAAAATAATCGCAAAACAGCGGAATAAGTTTCAAGTATAACGGATTCGATTTAGTCTCGGTATATCACCTCAATTACTTATTCTCGTTTATGGCCCTTATCGACGTCGTCGTACTATTCGAAGATCTTTACTCGGTTATCTTAAAACAATAATCTTCATTGTCTAATTCAGTTAAATTCATTAATTCCCTAATATTCCTTTATCATTAAAATATATTTTATAGCATATTTACATCCTTTAAACAATATTACCATCATCATCGAATGATTGCCAAATATTCGACATTAGTAAGGAGCAAATTCATCCTTCAAAAATGCAAATGAAATTAATTTAATAGTTCATTGTTGTAAGATCGCTTATTCGTTTATGTAACAAAACGGAATTCTTTTTGTCGTTCAAATATGTAAATGTTATAATAAAAACATCATTTTAACATTGTATGACAAGATTTCTTTTTCTCACAATCTTTCAGGCATTTCAAAGTACTCAAAAACAATTTTGAAAAACTTTCCTTAAAAAGTTGAAAGGAGGAATTGCTTTAAGCAAAAGGTTTACTCATGAGAATTTGCTTAGTGAGTTAGATTTTGAAAATGTTCACAGTATACTTAATTCAATCAACCTTTTTATTTATTCTTGTAATAAAAAAGATGTACTTAATTAAACTTATCGATCGACTAGGCTATCTATATTCAGATAATTTATTATCGTATTTTTTTTTTTTTATATCGTGTTTGAAGATTTTTTAGTACAGCAAACTTCAAATATGATTAATTATTGTTAGGTGGAAAGTGGGTAGTTGAAATTTTGAATATAATAAAGAATAGTTTATTAGTGCATAAGTCACACTGTGCGCTACAATGCCATTTGATATTAAAGTGTCCTGAAATCACACCTCAAAATTAGTTGATAAACAAGTGCGAGCTAAAAGCAATATCGAGCAATATCATAGATGTATCACGTGGAAAAGTGAATTTGGCTGTTTATCGCGCTATCTGCATATTGTCTCAGCCATGAATGTATGTCTTCTTTTTATCGCTTATTAAAAACGATTTATAATTTGCCAAAAAAACATTATATTGGTTAACTGTAGTTTAATAGTTTAATTGTGAATTATCCGTAATTCCTATACCATCTTAGTCTTACTTTATTGTTTCCTATGCCGAGTGAGTTTTAAGGTAAAGAAATGGAATTGTAATCTTTTTTTGAATGTACGGTAATGAAATATGTTTAATGGTTTGCAAATAAATTCCACTAGTTGATTTGTGTGTGGCAACTGATATAGTATTAAGGAAGAAATATGGGATGCGCAGAAAGCCTCATTTCCATTTTATTAATTCACCACCTGATCCTGAAAAACAAAGTAATCCTCGCAGCTGGCAGATTTTTGAACCTCTGTAATCGAAATAGGATGCTTCATTTATTTTATGAAAAAAGGAGAAAATAGTGGTGAATACAATCAGCTACAATGATATCGACAGCTGTTTGACAAAGAATGATAGAATTGTAGATGTTCGGTATCGTTTCACACTTTAGTAATTTTTGATTTAAAAAACTTTTGCGATACTGAATGCTATGCTTCTCCATGGCTTTAAGTGCAGATAACTTTTTCGTTATGCATACTTGTCAATTAAGAAATGAGAACCTTATTAGTGATAATTAGTGTTTAGCTGGCAATGATATAGTGTAAGCAAAATGGATATATTTGGATCGTTTTTTTTCGACTTGCTCTTTTTATTCATTTTAGCTCTATTTATTTATTTTTGCAGTACGAAATATTTATATTTCCACTGGTCTCTCAAGTTTTAATTTCCTCCACTTGGGTGTGTACATACCACTGTTTGCTCATATACTCATCAGTTGAGCATTCTCGATCATGACAAATTATCGTCCACCAATATTTCTCGTATTTTTGATTGCGATTTTATGCATGTTTTGTTTAAAATGTTGGATTAATTAAAATTGTAAATCACTTCAATAATCGATTATTCCCATGATAGCTTTGTCCTTTTTAGTGTCTGATCAAATTACAGGACTAAGATTAGATGGCACAGTGGGTTATTTAGGATAGAAATTACCATTCGAGGGTATGGTAACAAGACGAAGCAGTAACAAGAATTTTCAAACTTCTTGCTGTTAGAAATAATCTGCCGAGAAATGTCAGTAAAGTTTGAAGTAGCAAATCGTCGAAGAGAGGAATTCGCAATTTCAGGCCTCGCCCATTCTTCCCACACTCAGTTAATGACGTACACTGAAACTACTCTGCTCATTTTCGAAACATATTTCGTGCTAATTGAACTTTGGCTGCATTTTTGTTCCTTTCAGTTGCTATGGGTATATGTTGTATGTATCTGTCTTCAAAAATTCCAACCTAACATCTACTCGTCCTCGTCCCTCGTCCTCAACAGATGTGTTGCTGCAATGGAGCGCATCTGTCTATCCGTATATTCAACACATTTATCGTTTGACAGCTAACTTCTACTCGGATGTATCATTGTCAACTCATTCATTGCTGCTTTTGTTGTGCTTTCGATTGGTCATTATTCGGAATACACCGATGGCGCTAATGCTTATTTCCACTTCTCAATTTCTAATTTAGTTTTAACAATTCATGGTATTCAAATTAAATATTTCAAACTTTCCATTCATAAATCTTACATCTTCATCATTCATTCTGCTCTTGTAACAATTTGGATGATGCTATTTTTGGAAAATAAAAGAAAGAAATATCAGTCAAATTTCTTATACGTTAATATTACACATGTAAAATCATTTGAATCAACAGATGTACATTTTTTACAATTTAATATGTTCCTAATGATGCCAGCAATTTCCATTATCTTATCTTCATCGTTTTTTTCATATAATGTTCCGCTACTCTTCCGCTCTTGTTATTACAATTTTATGAAGAAAAAAGATTGGATATTACGAGAGTTAAAGATACTTTAACTGAATTTGACGTAAGTATTTCACTGTGATATATGAGTGTCCATTTCTAGACAAATGTATCGAGACAGAATGAAGACAGCTCTATCCATTAGCTGCTCACCAAAATGAGGCGTCTGAACCAATTGGCAGTTTAACTAGGAAGTGGATTAGATGGAACAGTTAAATAATGTGAACCAGTTGAGAAAGTCGCAAACTTTTTCTAGTGGATCCATTTATAGCCCTCTATAACGTAGATCGACATGAAGGAAATATAAGTTATTTCAATATCCTTGGAACTTTCTACTCCGAAAATTCAGAAGAAAAACAAACCTTCCCACTCAGAGAAGATTGATATGTTTACTGGCATAATCTAGAATAACTATACAGAACAAATGGTTCTTTTCTGAATGATGTATGAAGAATTGGATCACAAAGACGTGATGAATTCGAATGATGGGAGAAGAGGAAGAATTCCTAATGACGTGAAATATCTTCATGTTTTATCTTTTTGCACACAATTGCTATATTCATTTTCTATGCCTTTTTATAACTGTCCCAATATTAGATGACACTGAATCACTGGTATTTACATAAACTCAAATGGAAAGTAATCTGAAAAGTTACGTGCTTTATGCTAAAATGGTTTACTTTACCCAAGAAGTTGAGGTTCAAATTGACATGGTATATCTCATTTGAGAGTCTCAAGGATTAGTCGGATTGAATTTAGATTCCTCGACTAATAAATCTTGTGATTTTGACTTATATGAAATATCTAAATGAGTGAAAAGGCAGGAACGAAATATTTTATAGTTTTTTCTTTGTGAAGATAAGTACTACCAGTTGGAATTGTCACTTTTAATTTAATTAGGATGCAACTTTTTTTTTTAATTCGAGTTCACCATTTCGTATTGTAAATCTTTGCTTTGGGTTTTATTAAAATATTCTCAAATAACTTGTGATCTCTTGAAATCTGTTTTTTTAATTTTGTCAAATAAATCGTACATGAACTTAAAAATTTCTCTGGTCATTTTTAATTATGGTCATGTGGTATCCCATTTATATCCCATTTATTTTATTATCAAAGCTGAGAAGATATTTATTTAGATTATTTTATTGTCAAAATAATACTTCATTATATCATTCATATCTGGTATTTAAGTTTCTCAATTAGCTTTCATATCTGGTATTTAAGTTTCTCACTTAGCTTTTCTTTGAAATCTTTAGTTAAAAGTATAATTTAATTAAAAGCAGTATCTGATATTGTATGTATTTTTTTTCTTACATATTGGTTAATTTTCCAGTTTTGATTACAGAAAACTACATGGCGGAATCATCAAGTGAAAATTACAAAATACCAGTTGGACTGCGTTCATTGTTAGAAGCGTTAGTGCATGAAACACTGAGAACACAGCCAACTGATTTAATCAGTTTTTCGATTCTCTTTTTCAATGTCTTGCAAAAACATCGCAAACGTAAGTTCTGAAACTTTCAAATTCTTTAAAACTTACATACATATATATATACATTTTTTTTTAGTATATAATCAGAAATTCTAAAAATTACTACCAATTAGCATTTCGTTTATAATTATGTGACAGAAAGGTATCACTAAGATTAAATTCATTAAAGAAATAAAAAATTTTTCGAATTTCCAAATTTAGCTGTCAGATTTTTAGTCATTCCGTTTTTTATTCAGTGAAATTAAATTACGCATAGCTTAATTAATTACTTGATACATATGAGCTCAATTTTCTTCATTGATAACTTTATTCCTGATCACTGTGATATAACAACGATAATTGATGAATTCAGAACTTTTGAAATAGAAATGCAGTCAGATGTGGAGAAAAAAAAAGCTAATTGAGAACAAGCATTATAGTTAGAATATAATTTTTCATCTAATAAATAACAGAAATCTGTTTGATCACGATGATTTCAAAGTGATCTGCTTTTTTCAGAGAATAATGCAGAAGATGTGCTAGAGAATCCTACTTTATATGAGTCCTTCAAAATTGACCTACAGAAACAGGTTTGCATGCGTTTTTTCGTATAGTCATCTGTTTTCAGTGTTAGTTGATAATAGTTTGTCTAAGAAAGGAATTTTTGACATGGAAATAAATTTGCCAAACTAGAAAGTTTGAAGATTTGAATTTTAAAATTTGCTGGATATTTTCTTGCTCACAATTTAAATGAGATGAAAATTCAGTATCACGAAAAGGATAAAATGACCAAACAATCGTCAATGCCTTTTGATGAAGCAGCAACGAAAATTCAAGCTGCATATCGTGGACATATTGTAAGTATTACTTTTAAGTTATTAGTTTAAAATTTTAATATTGTGTCTGTTTGATTTTTCCATTTTTCTCTCACTATTTATTCCTCTTAGGTTCGAGCTAATCCACAAAATTTTGGTCTCAACAAAAAGGACAATGATATCATTTGGCGACCCACAGATTGTATTAGTTTACCGGACGCAGAAAAAGATTTAAAGTTCGTTTCAATTCTTTAACGGTATCCAGACAGATTTATAATTTTTGATGCGTTTTTCTAATCAGGGTTTTTTAAGAAATAACGAAATCATGGAGGAAGAAAAGGGGCTGTGGATATGAAAAGGTCTGGAAAATATATTCGAATAATATCGATTTTTTGCAAAATTATGTAAAAATTAACTAAAGCTGTGATCAATAATTAATCAGAAAGTATTTAATTTCATTATTACGATTAGATTTAATAGCTGAATATGCAAAAATATCAAAGAATTTTGAAGGAAGTGTGAGTGAAATGTGTTTGTAAGATATCATCCTACTTTAGGTGCTATTCTAATGATCCTACCGATTCGGTAATACAGAAAGATGCGATTCAGGATCGAGCAGCAACCATAATTCAGGCTGAAATTCGCGGTTTTCTAATACGACGACATTTACAACAAGAAAGAAAAGAAGGAAATGAAGCTGCAAAAAAAATACAAGCGCATATTAGGTCATCAATTCGTCTATCTTTTTTATATTCAACATATCTAAAAATTTCTGTTTCCATGTACTTTATATCTGAGCAGTGAATTTCATTATCTGTTAACACATTGTACTTATGTTTAATTATTGGGCGCTAGGAAATTTTAATTGTTAGATGCTAGGAAATTTTAATTATTAAGTATTTTCAGAGGTTACTTAACAAGAAAATATCTCGATGAAGTGGGCATACCACATAAACATTCGGCTGTCTCACATCTACATAACGGTTTCCAAGAGGTTGGTGAAAATGTTTAATCACTTCAAAAGATTAGAATTTCTAAAATTTTCAAAATTTTAAACTTCACAATGTAACAATACTGATGAAGCTCGCTTATTCATTGTATATGTTAAAATGTTCCGCATAAAATGATAGTAATTTAATTATTATCTATCAAACTGGCAGTATATTTGCAGCATGTTTAAAGCATACAAACGGGCAATTTATTTAAACAACACAGAAAGGAAATCCATCATCCATCGAAATAAAACATACATCATCTCATCATCCTGCAATATCCCTTTTGCTTTTTTCTGTTTGATTTTGATTAATAAATATTTATTTGGTCACTATATTGTGAATTGTTTAAACAATATCATTACTACAGTATAAATTTTAGCGTATTGTTCACTTAACATATTTTTGTGAACTCTCGACGCTTAAGGTAACCGTGCATATTTCATAGAATCGACGCTTTAAATAACATTTTTTTTCCTGCTAAAAGATATTTAGTGAAGTTTCGATAGCCAAAGTTATATCCCTTCGTCACTTTTCCATAAATATAATATCATTTTTCCTGATTCATTATTGTGTCATGTTTTATTGTCCGTGTGAAATACTTTATAATAACTTCTATGAAAATTTAAACATAATGTAAATGAAATGTTTCGGTAATTTTGTTCTGTGCTAAAAATTGCAAAATGATTAGCTTCTTTCATGTATGAGAGAACTTTTGTTGGTGCAAAATAAAGTGATAAAAGATTTTTGGTGTATAAATACAATGACTTGCAACATTTCATTTCCTTTTAATGTTGCAGATATGGTGGCACTGGAAATACTGAAATTTAAATGAAATACAGAATATTCTTATTTGCTAAATGGGAAAATATGTATGAATTCGGCTGATAATATAATGAATAGAATTGGTTAAAGCTAAGGGCGTAATCAGAATAATTTTAATTTTAAAATGTGACACTTATAAAATGAAAATTCAAAAACTATTTTTTGGCACTCATTTGACATATTTCCCTTATCAAAAAGAAGCAAAAGCTTAGAAGAGATATTTCTCTTTTGAACACTTTTGATAGGTGATGTGAATCTCGCAGAAATTGAGCCAAGTTAAGATTTTGTTCAATGCTATCTTTATAAAGTGTTCATCACTTGAGATTGATGCTGAATTAATACTCGACGACACATATATATGTTGAGTAATTTGGAGATAATCTGGAGATTGAATAAGAAAAGATTAATAGTAAAACTTTGCATCGTCCAATATTCACCACATTACAACTATATATACTGAATAATGTGGACATTAAACTTTTGTATACGGAAGAAAAGCCAACAAAGAATTTTGGATTTTACAAGGGACAATAATTGGCAAAGGAGGCAGTTCATTACGTTATTCTTAAAAGTGAACAAATAATTTCACATTATTTCATTTATGAAATTTGACGAAGAGGAACTATTGAAGCCAGTGGATATACTTCCTTTCGTTTTTATATTTAACTTTTGTAAGAACAACAATATCTATACTTCACAAGAATTACTCACTTGCCAATTATTTTCTTATAAAATCCAAAATTTTCTTCTTACATGCAAACGACTGTGGTGGAGAAAACTAATCCCAACCCTCCCTTCAACACATATATTTCTGATCGTTGAAACGAAATAATATAAAAACGAAAAACTATCGTTATAGTTGCTTAAATTCATTTTTTAAATTATTTAAAAGATCTTAACGATTTCTTAAACAAGTGTATTTGTTGAAAAGAATTATGCTGACCGTTGAGATCAATGGGATGAATTAAACAACTGTGATATGAACAGATGAATATCACCTGTAGAAGTATAATATTAGATTACAAGGAATAATGAAAACTTTTGATCGTTTGTAATTTACAACTATAACTATAAAAAAAATCAATCAATCAATCTGCAAATATACAAAAGTTTTTTCATTAACATTACATATCTTTCACAATGTTGTCCACAATAAATGCCGTATTATTTGTGTGTATGTATGTGTGTGTGTGTGAGTGTGTGAGAGGTTGTCTGTTGAACGGCACTATAGAATGACGTGTTAGGCAAAGGTATTTAATGATTAATTAAAGACATCTAGAAGGTGGTATTTGTGAGCTTGCTTAGCTCAACTTGCTCACTCACTAGAAACTTATAAAATGAAGTAATCCTTCAGCAATCATCGGAAATGACATCATATTTGTTGAGTGAAAATTCGATGATTTTTTTAGATGAAAATAGTTAGTAACGACGGTAATTGTTGCGCCCTTTTTGGATTTTTCCGCTTTTTTCTCCTTTTTTTTATAAATTTTGCTTACTTACCGATTCCGTTCTTATTTCAAAGTAAAAATTCAGAGAAGCAACAGAAAAAAATAAAAATACACGTTTAGCCTTATTTTTCCAGCCGTGGCATCCATCTAAATGTATTTTTGGTGAATCATTTGGTTGCTTCTGTTCCTAAATTTTAATTTCAGTTTAAACTTGTACATTTTTCTTTTCTGATTCATTACGTTATTAATTGATAAATTCAACATAATTTGATGACTATTATTTCATTGCTCGATCGAACTGATTAATCGATTATACCTTGTTGCTTACTGAATCGAAGCGATCTTTTTGAATTCTTTTTTTGGATTTCTGAAATTTACGTCCATTTCAACGAAAAATAGTTATAACAGAAAAGTGAAAAGGATTGGATTGTATTCAAACTATTAAGGAATATTGTTGAAAGTATCCAATAAGAGTAGTAGTCTGTTCGTGACTGAATCAAATAGAATGATTTGGCAACTAATATGATGATGGCTTTATTTCATGATGCCGATGTACAGCACTTCTAGAACAATCCTTCATTTTTCTTTACTACTTAGCTAAAACCTAAGTCTTAAACGCAATAAGCTTTCAAGCTTGAATAGTTGAAATAGACGAATGCTTAAAAGTGAATTTTTACATTACCTTTTACAGGAGAAAACTTGCTAGACCTCTGATATACAGCAATGATTTTTTTTTTAATTTTAGCAAATATTCTTAACATTAAGCATCAATTGTGAATTACTCCTAAACCGATAAGTTCATTCAGGATATCATATTTTTTTAATTCGTCGTGGGGTTTCTTTTCAGGCATTCAACGATCCATCTTTTAAAAGCCATTTTTTTGTCGGTTGCCCGTTCACAGTAAGCATTGGTTTTGAGAATTCAATGTATCAGTTGTTCATATATATGAACAACTCTATATATATATTTGTTACTATTTTCATGTAATACCATTAATAGATACCGCTTAGTCAATCTGAAGGAAAATGCATGCTATAAATTTGAATTAGGCAGTCACTAATAACATGCACTACAATCATTTGTACTTATT